GTAGATTTTTTAGGTTTTCTAGCGAAGATATTGTAGATTTTTTAGATTTTAATTTTTTTTTTAAATTCCAATTACGTGTATATAATTATTCTGCAATCATGTTTGATAAAAATAAAAAATAAAAAATCTTGAGAAATCAAATCACGTTTTCTTTGCGGTTTTGGTGGCCCTACATCTATAATTATGGGACACAAATCATGTTTTATTTTTGTTGATAACTCAAAATAATTTGTCAAAAAATATGAGCTTTAGAATTTGTAATTTATTCATTAGATCATTTGGGCAATTACAAAAATGTCACTTTTTGTGTGCACATTTGCAATAATGCTATTTAGGGGTGTTTATTTACAAAAATGCTTCTAATTATAGACTTATAAAACCTATATCTTAAAATTCTAAACCCTAAAAAATATTTTGACACCTAAAACCCCCTAAACACTCAAAATTAAACCTTAATCGAATATAATTAACCCAAACATAAATAATATAAAAAAAAATAATTTTTTAAAAGTGGCATTTTTGTAAAGATTTCAAAAATGTGACATTTTTGTAAAGTGGCACTTGAAAAGTGACATTTTTGAAATTTCTCTACATAAATACTATGAAGAAATATGTGGTCCCAATTTTTTGTTCAAACAGTGGCTCTAGGCCATGGCCTAACGAGTAAATCAAAATTATGCTGATTTACAACAACAACCAAAAAAGTAAAGGTGAACCATTAAATCAGAGCTATTTGGCTAGAACATTACTAATGGGAAGAAACCCATTAAGTCTCTCAAATATTCCTTCCTTTTTTTTATTATAAAATGTTTTAGAGATTTTTTTGTTTCACAATTTAAGATTTTTTTAGATTTCTATGTACCTTTTACTTTATTGAAAACTGTGTAGCCAATAGTATTATATAGTTTTTTTCTTAATTGGTTGAATTGTTTATATTTAATAATTTTTTTTATAAAAATTTTTTTTTGAAATTTTTTTGCTTTAACTCAAAACATCATTTTTTTTTTGTCACAACCCAAAATATCAGATGATAAAAACGGAAGGAGTATAAATTTTTAATAATT